TGACGGAAATATGGCATTTCTGAAGAGCTCAAGGTGGAGAAAAGGAAATAATTGGGTAGACTTGTTTAAGAAGCTTTATATAACAGATTTAATTTGTTGAAAACTGTTTAAAGTTTGATTGTTAGATACTTTTTATGAAGGATTAATATCTGTGGACTATTTATGCAGTATTTATGCAGTACTGATACCTTATTCTCCTTGACAGGTGTTTTAATAGGTTATATCAGCATGTCAATAATCAAGAGATGGTGTTAGATGTTCTGTGTGCAGAATAAATTTTTATCATTGTTTTCAGATTATAAACAAATCATTTACAATATTTTTCTTTCTTTTCTTTCTTTCTTTCTTCCTTCCTCCATCCCTCCCTCCATCCTTCCCTCCCTTTTTTCCTTCCTTCCTTCCTTCCTTTTGTGCACAATATGTGTATTTGTGTAGGTGTGCAATGATGCACATAGATGTAAGAGGAGAGATAACTCATGGAGGCTGATTCTCTTCTTTCCCCAAGTGGATCTGTAGTGGAATAATTTCCAATGGGCTTACTATTGATTTTCTCTTAGGTTATTTTGCATAAGGAAATCTATTGGTTGTTTGATACTCTCAAACGTGAACTGTGAGTATTTGTTAACATGTCCAACCATTTGATGTCTTATGGTGTCTTGAATTATTTTATAAAATACTGTGTTTCGAAAATGACTGAAAAAGACAAAAATCTCATTATGATTCTCCCAAATGATCATGTTTTATGGTTTTATTTTTCCCTCCAGGATGACAGCATATTCGTAGAAATCCTTTGGGGAAAGCTTCTAGCCATGTTCTATCAGTTCTGTGTAATTAACTTTCTCTCTGGTACTACATCTTCTAAGACTGATACTATTGAAATTAAATGTTTTGAGTGCATTTTTTTCTTCTGACCTGGCTTGCATAGCCAATTGCCTGCCTCATAAAGAGTACAAGACATACAGCTTGGTGTCCCTGAGTTGAGAACAGTGAACAAGTACACCAGCATGTCAAACACAGCTTATCTCGATGTTTTAAAGATGTGTCTACAACACCCTGAAACTTATGCTTCATTCTTAATTCTCTAGTAGGATTCTCTCAATGGCATGCCTTGATTTCTATGAGGACATCACTTTACATTCCCTTCAGGTTTCCTTCCTTTGCTCCTTCCTTTCTTCCTTCCTTTTTTATTTATCTCTTTGCTTTTTCCTCAGTTCCCCCTCTCTCTTTCTTTGTTCATTATTTTGTAATTGGAAAGGTTGATTATATGGGGCACAGAGGTACATATATTCACGAATAAACACTAAGGTAACCAGGAATGTTAAATAGGCAGAGATGTGTCTTCAAAGAAAGAAATGCCTAACTTGTTTTCCACCATGAAGTCTAGGAATGGATATGGTTAATAGCCTGGTGAGCTTTGTAGCCATCAGTTGCCAGTGGTTTAGAAAGTAACCTCTGGCTTCATTTGGGTCATACCAGTCAACAAAATAGTCTTTTTGTATCAGAGGAGACTTGTCTATTCCTGGGCTCTTAAAAAGAAATCTATAAGGCATAGAAGTTGCTCATATGCACTATGTGCAAATAACAGGGCACAAAATAGAATCCACCCGCATCCATATTCATAGGGCTTCCCTTGATATCCATGGAAATGATTTTTCATAACATTATTTATTCTTTAAATGTATTTATAGCCCTCCCTATTGAAATTCTATCTCTAACCATACCCTTCACTCTGGTAAATAACTGCTTTTTGGATAAACTTTTTTTTTATGAAATTGCTACTTATACTGTACTTCCTACAGGCTATAGAGGTTTATGTGGGATAGGCAGTATTACACCCATTTTTCTCAGTAAATATTTGTTCTCTATCTACAGAATTAAGAGAGCTCACTGTAAAAAAGAATGTGATGATGATGATGATGATGATGTGTGTGTGTGTGTGTGTGTGTGTGTGTGTGTGTGTGTGTGTGTGTGTGTGTGTATCTATTGGATCCTCCTGTAATGGTTGCAGCCACAATGGCTTATCTATTGCCAATCCCAGGAATCATTATTGGAATAAAAAGAGATGTCTCAATGATGACCTGTATGATTAGTAAAATTACTAATATTATAGCAAAATATTAGCAGAAGTTAATCAAGAGCTGGGTGAGTTGAAGAGAAGAGTTTTACAAAGTAGGGCTATTATAGATTTTTTTTTTTGGCTAAAGCATAATCTTGGTTGTCAATAATTTTGTGGCACGTGTTCCTTTCATGTGTCAGATACCTCTCATACTAACGATGGTCAACGCTGTGATTTGAACAAAGAGATAAACAAAATCATCCAAGAGACCTTTGGCCATCACAGTTTCAATGGCTTTCTCCTTTACTTAGTCCTGGTAAGTATTCGTATAATTCTCTCATGTTTGCCTATATTAATTAGACTAGCCATGCAGGTAGTGCATTCAACCATGACCTCTATTACAGCCAACATTTTTGCTTTAAAATAAGGGGCACAGAAGTTTGTTTGCTCACAGATAACACTAGGGAAAACAGGAATGTTAAACACGCAGGATTGTCTCTTCAAAGGAAGAAATGTATCAACTGGTTTCAGTCCAGAAGGCTGGGAATGGCTGTGGTTAATAGCTTGGTGACCTGTGTGTTATGTGTACAACTGAAACCACACCAGATCAACCCTCAGACCCTTAAGATGTCAAAGGCAGTCAATCTATAGAATCTATCTTTATTGAAGATGGATTGATAAAGCCTTGCACTTTATTGTGCACACATAATTGAGTCAATTATTACCAGGAAACTTCTTTTTTTTTTCTAAATTGTGCTGTACCTTACTATGTCTAAATTAAACCTCCCAGTGTCAGGCTCTTGACTTTTAAATCAACGCCAGCTACTTGTATCCAACCAGACTTCCTTCGTGCTGCACACAGATCAACACTCTGCTGGCCATGATATTTTCAGAGACCTACAAAGTTGCTAATAATGTGTTTACCCCAAGACCTGCTAGCACATGCATAAAGGCTTCTCATATAAAGGAAATCCTATGTTTGCTGTACAATCAAAGTCTTGCATTGTGGAAGCTTGAGTACATTCATACCATTCTTTTGCTTGTAATTATTCAGTTACAAAGCCTATGCCAAGTGCAGTATTCAACAAACTTGTTATTGTCAGGTGACTAGACTCTAGTCATTGACACAGTACTGCAAGTACAAAAGGAAGAATGAGATATGCTCCATGTACCATGGGTATATGCATGATGGGAGCATAGTCCATGGCTGTTGAAGTTCTCGTTATGGCCACCATTGCATTTCCCCTGACGAATTTTCACCCAGTGAGCACACTGTGGTCTAATATGGTATTCTTGTTTTCTAATGGCACCAAGCTTATTTCAGATTTATAGGACTTCAGTTATGTAATATTCTCCCTCACCTTTTATAGAACTCTCATTTTCCTTCTAAGTTCAGTGGATATATTTTAAAACCACAGTTCCTTGTACTTTCCATCCTATTTTATGTCATTTAAGGAAATGAAAACAAGTCTTCTTTCAAGTCTATTTTTGATTTAACACAAAACAATACTTAGTATGTCAGTCTGTGATAATTATTTTTTGTCATGGAAACCTTGACTAGGGGGAAAAATGGAAAGAAAAAGGGACATACAGAAAAGCTAGAGTCAAATGGGCTCTGTACACATGATGGAGTGGCACCATTTACAACACAATCCATGACCACAGCACAATATTTCCTATAGCAGAGGGCAGGAGTTTGCTGGCATCAGTAGGAAGTGTCTGTGGGCGAGCAGTCTAAAGCTGTAGTTACCTAGGAGGAAGAAGCTGCAGTTGCTATTCTTTCCTCACACTGGTCAATAGTTCAAGAACATTTGAATCTGGTCTAGAGGAAGTCTTTGCAATTCTGAGCCTGACTGGTATGGGGAAAGCATTGCCAATTTCCCATAGGTTTGAAGTGTTGGTTGTAGAAATGGCCATGCTCGTGTCAACAATATTTTTTTCACTCAGACCTTCATCTATTCTTTGTCTGTTTACTCAAGGCTTCCCTGATTCCCCACAATCCCCACCATGTATTGCTGTAGAATATTAGTTTAAGGTGGATTAGTTTATGCTGTGGAACATTTGTTTGATGTGCTTAATAAATTAATTTAAATTAACATTTGTTAAAGATGTTTTGCATTCTCTTATGTTACATTTGTTTGACTTTTGAAGCTGTGTTACTGTGCCTGTCTAAAACACCTGATGGTCTAATAAAGAGCTGAATGGCCAATAGTGAAGCAGGAGAAAGGATAGAAAAGAGCAAGAGAACAAGGAGAAGAGGATGCTATGGACCAGGCACCCACCAACACGGCAAGCCATGGAGGAAGATTGAAAGTAAGATATACATAAGTAAGAAAAGGAAAAAGCCCAGAGGCAAAAGGTAGATGGGATAATTCAAAGTTAAGCTGTCAAGAAACAAGCCAAGTTAAGGCTGGGCATTTATGAGAAAGAATATATTATATTTCCATGTGTGATTTATTGGAGCTGGATGGCAGGAACCCAAAGAGCCAAAAGAGCAAAAACAACCAACAACAATGTGCTGTGGGATGGTCTGTATGTCAAATAAAATACTGATTGGCCAGTGGCCAGGCAGGAAGTAGGTGGGACAAGGAGAGAGGAGAATTCTGGGAAGCGGAAGGCAGAGGCAGAGGGACACTGCCAGCTGCTGCCGCCATGACCAGCAGCATGTGAAGACGCCGGTAAGCCACTAGCCACGTGGCAAGGTATAGATTTATGGAAATGGATTAATTTAAGCTATAAGAACAGTTAGCAAGAAGCCTGCCACGGCCATACAGTTTGTAAGCAATATAAGTCTCTGTGTTTACTTGGTTGGGTCTGAGCGGCTGTGGGACTGGCGGGTGACAAAGATTTGTCCTGACTGTGGGCCAGGCAGGAAAACTCTAGCTACAACAATGTATAGTAAATATATACATATATAATTTGTACAAAATTACATGTAATAATGATCAATTCACAGCCTTTTGGCTACAACCAAGTGTGGTATCTGTTCTTTTCAGTTTAATATTTGATGTCTTCTATATGAAGGCAATTTTTAAATGTATTTGGGGGCTGGGAGATGGAATAGGGTCTTGCTCCACCCATTCCACGCACTGACCTGGTATTGCACTACCTGCATGATCATTGCATCAAAATATTTTCCATAATAAATAAAAGTGAAAAAAATTAGATTTGCCCACAAGTCTCAGTGATCTTTCTAACTCTTTCCATACAAGCTCAATACTTACGGGATGTGTGATCATGCCCAAATATTGATGTGGGTGCTGAAAATTTGAACCCAGGTCCTCATGCTTCCAGATCAAAAGCCCTTACACCCCAAGTCATCTTCTGAGTCTTAACTATACCATATTTTAAAGAATGATTAGTTAGCTTCATTGTATTCTCAGGACAAAGGAGTTTAAGTCACACATAGAAACACATGAACAGGTTGAAGATAAGTTAAAAAGTTAAGAAAATAAGTTAAAAAGTATGTTCTCTTTTCTAAACATATTTATGTAAATTATTTGTTTGCAACACTTTGCTTGTAATGTTGGTTGTATTGAATGAAGTTCAAGTTGGGCCAATCATCTGCTTCATAGGCAAGAGACAGCTCATGCTCAGTTTAATTTTAGAAACTATCCCACAAAAGTTACATTTCTGATATTTTCTTGAATCCAAAGGTATTTTGTATGTGTGTGTTGGGGGGAAAAATTAAGCAGGACATGTAGTCCACTGTGCTGGAAAAATAATGGCATCCATTCAATTTTAAAGTAAACTATTGCTTATTGGGAGGAACTCAGAAGCATTTAAACAACAGGGCACATATTATCCCACACTCTTTTCCTATGACAAGGACATTAACTAGGAACAGCTGAAGCGAACCTCATAATAGGCTACAACAGAGGCAGGAATCCACCTGAACTCTTCAGCTTCATAAATAAGACAAGGCAAGAAACATCTGGGAAGCAGGGAGGCACTTTGATGTAAGAAAATGGACTGATTAATGGAGAAACAGGGGCTTGGGAGCCTCAGCACAGATATTGTCACCCAGGGGTCTGATTTGCTAGTTCTTGGTCTCATACATAAAAGAACTTTAAAATAGGCTCAGAAGGAGACAAGGACAACTTTGATTTTGGAATTTGAAAGAGAAAACAGCAGGATAGGTAGGCAAATCCTACAGTTTCCAAGATGAAGGAGATAAAACATGTAGAAAGAATGCAAGTTATACTTTCTGAGTTATATATCAACATGGCAGGCTCAACAATGGATGTCCTCTCGTCATCTCATGGAGTTGATGGTTCTTGAGAGAACACTCTGAATGAACAGACAAGCAGGCATAGGAATCAGCTTTTCTACTGAGAAGAGATGAAAAGAGGAGGGAAGAGGGGAAAATTGCTTACACCATTAAATTGATGAAGCTTAACAGTGAGTCTGCAAACAACTACTGTGGCAAGGACTTTAGGGTAACTAGATACTCATGTAATTAAAAGGATTGCCTTAGCATGCCTTCAGGTGTGTCCTATTTCTTTCCCTTTGCTGGCTTTAGTCTGGTATTCAGGTTATGAAGCAGGAATTCTTCCTTACCACAGGATGTCTTTGGCCTTGTTAGGGAAGCACCTGTTGTCTATATCAAAGATAACCATAAGTTCCTGAGCAAGCCATTTCTAAAGGTGATACTGACCATTCACCATGATATATTTGGTAGAGCATGTCAACATGAAGACATTCATATGTTTGCCACTGGTCATTTATTTTGTGCAAAAGGAAGTAAACACAGGTATGTAAGTTCCAAATGATGTCGGAAAAGTCTGGCTGCAAATGTCTTCTTTTCCTTCCCTTTTTGACTGGCAGTCCCATCAGCTCTTTATGCTAATATTGCTCAGGTTCATTGAACTAGCTCATTGGAATTCTGCAGAGAAAATCAGTGAGCCTTAAGGCATTTGGTTTTTGTCTACTACTCTGATGTTGAATTAACTCTGAGTTGTATTTAAACAATCTGAAATACAGTTTATAATAACTCTACTATAGTGTTCTGTCAAGTAGATAAGTACAGATATAGAGCTGTATGCTCAGGTATGCAGGTTTTATTCTTCTTGCATAGATTTGTTAGAATTAAAACGTTTGACTACCTTTTTTATTCCTAATTCTTTGAAATCGAAATTATTTATAAAGACAACTGTTATGTGACTGTATAAAAAAAAAGCTCAAAATGTTTTGATTACAAATTGCATTGAAGATAATGTTTCTTATTCTCAAACTGTGTGTTTCTGCATGGTGAATATAGTAGTTCATGCACATATGTGTGTGGATGTATTAGGATGTGTGGCCCTATGGCACATGCAAGTGGAGGCCAGTGGATTTCAAGTGTCCAGTTCTATTACTGTCCCTGTTCAGCCATTGACAACAGGGTCTCTCACTGAATCCAGAACTTTCTGTTTCTTTGCTAGCTAGCCCTAGTGATAGTCCTCTACCCACACTGCCAAAACTAGGGCCACATACTCTTGTAGCCACACCTAGTATTTACTTGGATGATAGGTACCCCAGCTCCAATCCTCTTGCTTGAGCAGCAAGTGTAGATGTAACCAATCGTCTTATTAAAATAAGAAACACAGAGCCTTTGTAAAAGAGAAAGCCGAGAGGTCAGAGCTCAGAGATAAAATCTTACCTCCTGCAGTGCTCCTAACTTCCCCGAGAGAGCTTCTTCCTGTTTGTCTGTCTTTAAATAGTCTTTCTGTTCTGCCTTCTCATTGGTTGTAAACCCAACCACATGACTGCCTCGTCACTGCCTGTAAGTACCGCCCTCTAGGTCTTAAAGGCGTATGTCTCCAATACTGGCTGTATCCCTGAACACACAGAAATCTACCTAGCTCTTCTAACCACCACGCTCTTGCTATGGCTCTAATAGCTCTGACCCCAGGGCAACTTTATTTATTAACATAAAATTAAAATCACATTTCAGTACAAATAAAATATCACCATAAGCAAGTGTTCTTACCCACGGAGTATTTCCCTAGATATGTCTGAGAGTCTGAAAAATTAGGTATTTGAGGTATAAATAACAAATCAGAGTAAGTTGTCAAAGACATGAGGGAAGTTACTTAAAATATTAAAGTATAAGATCAGTCAATCTCAATGACTAATGAAATATATATTGTGTTTTAAGAAGTCTTAACAATACTAAGAATAATGTTTATAAGAGAGACATGCATTGCTTAAATTGTAGATCCCGTTCTAGGAGCCTAGATCATTTTGTCAGCTATGTGCATGTATCTACATAAGTTAGGCGGATGTATCTAACCTCCTAACACTGGAGCTATTGGCACATACCTACCTGGCCATACCCCTGATACACACTTTTAACAGAGGTACTGAGAATTTAAATTTAGGTCCTCTTTATTTCATAGCAAACAATTTTACCCACTGAGACTTCAACACAGGCCCTGAAGCTGTTTTTAAGAGTTTTATATGGTTTCGTAGCAGTATGCATTCAACTCTGGCTCCAGGTCCAGAGGTTCCATGATGTTCAGTGGAAGTATTGGTCATTTTATACCCAAAGGTACATGTTTAAACAATAAATCAATTACAACTAAGAAAGTATTTTGATCCTTTTGAAAGTCACAGAGCACTGGACTTTTCTTTTTGAAAATGCATATTTTAATTTTTATTTGTCACTTCAAAGAATGGACATGAACCTACATATTAAATGCAATGTGTTTATTATCTATCCTGTTGAAGAAAGTAATATTTTATTATACATTTTGATTCTTTAAAAAGTATTTTGGGTTTATTTTAGAAGAAAAAATTGTGTATCTGCTGAATATTAATTATTGTAAGTTTAGATCCAAAAGTCCCCACTTTTGTATCCTGTAAAGATCCCATGGGATTTTTTTTTCAATTACCAGATGGGAGTGAAAGGCCAATGTCTTGGAATGTGCTCAGCCACACTGCATGTGCAGATCATAGCTATGCAGCTCCTCATGACAGAAAATTAATAGACCGTCTTAATGACCCTCAGATTTTTTCCTGTTGCTCAAGCAGCTGACTCAATCCCCAACAGCTATAATTAAAGAGAACAGTCTGTCAGGGAAGAGAGCTGTTCTTGTTAATTTGGTGAACCACCATACTGGCTTTTCCTATTATACACTGTAGCCGCCGACAGTCTTGCAGGTTTTTAACCCGAGCCCTCCGCCAAGCAACAGAGCTCCAAGCAAGCAGCTTGTGGAATGGAGCTGAGGATGATGGGAAAATTGTGGTCTGTTTTCAACTCTAAAGCCAGCTCCCATGGGTTAAATGAAAGACAACTGCACTATTGTGCTTGCAAAAATGTGAAATCAAGAGAATTCCAGACGTTCTACCATTACGTCGTTGCATTCTGCAATGGGAGCGCTCACTGCACCAGTTGGAGGCTACTCTCATAGCATTCGGGGTAGATGCTGCAAGAAGATTACTTCCCTGAAAGCTGTTATTAGAAAAGCCAAATTATTCCAGGGGCTACTTTAATTCATTCTATGATAGATCAATTCCCATATCTAAATTTCTTGGTCAGGCAGACTTTCTATTTCTGAAATTAACTTATAGGACACACAGAAGCAGTTCAATCTAGAGATGCATCATGCATAGCTGTTATAAGTAAAAAAGCACTCTACACAGTGTAATTACTATGTAACATTCGTGTATTGCTTTTGGTAGGCAAATACTACTGCAAATGTGAGATCTCTTAGAGTGCTTCTAAGAATTTACAGATTTGTATATTAATAAGTTTTTTTGCTTTGAACCTAGAGTTTTGTGGCACCTCTGTCTTTCTGACTGAGGTCTATACAAATAAAATAAGAATTGCAAAGCCCACCTCTTTCTGAATGTACTTGCTTTTAAATGGACACAGTTATTATTGTAATTGGTTGACATGGTCAATTGTTGATCTCCACTTTATTCATTTGTCCTTTTTCTGTGATATTTAAACTCTTAGGTGATTGAAAGTTTGACATCAGCCTCATTATCATAATGCTGCTACCATAGTCAGTATGAAAACTTGTTAACTACAGGTTAATGTTCAAGAAAAATAGGACAATTACTGGGTATAGAAATAATTTCCACAGTCCTTGAAATAATAGGAATCATAACCAGAAAATACAGACACCAGTTCCTCTCTGTGGGA